CAAGTAGATCTGGAAACATATGAAAAGCTTGAAAATGGACGGTTAAGATAATGTGTTACAAGATGCAGTATTTCTGAAACTTAATTTGTCTTTTCTTCATATTCATAAACCTTGATGTCGAGATGATCAATTAGAGGGCTTTTCAATATTAAAATAATATTTTCTAATGGAGTTTTTAGGTGCATCTGTAATTTTACATTTTAATGTTGCAACCTTTATATAAACTTTTTCCATAATAATATACATGGAAGACACAATCAATTTTGGTCAATTGGATATGAAATCTGGCAGCTAGAGGTGTCCCATTTACCAAACTCAAAGTTGATGTCTTTTTCTTCTTTTCTTTTATTTATTTATTTATTAATAAAATGAATACACTCTAAGCTAGGAGATATCATATTTGTCAATTATGGGCAATTAGGATTTCTTCATACCAAAGATAAATGGTCTTGTAGAATATGTTGCTACAATAAAATGCACAGAGATGAATTCTAAGAGCCTAAATAGTAAAAAGAAAAATAAAAAAACAAAAATTCTCGTGGGCCTATTCATGATTTAGTGAAATAAATAAATAAATAACATAAATGTCAGTTTATTCACCTTTTGCACTTTGCTTCGCAACAAAAATCTTGACTTCTTAATATCAAAGGTAAATGGCCTTATCGTATACAATGCCATGGATTGAGATAATTCTTATGGGCCTAATTAGTCAAATATGGGCCAAAAAGGTTTTTCTTAGAAAAAACCTTGATATTTTAATACCAGAATTAAATGGCCCTTATATTATACAATGCCCTCATAAAATGCACTGAGATGGATTCTCAATGCCTAATTAGCTAAAAATGAGAAAAAAAAAAAAAAAAACTCATGGAATATAGGCTAAAAAGGGAGAGAAGTTGGCTAAGTAGTACATAAAAAAACCTTTTTAATACCAAAGTTAAATGGCCCTTATATCAATGCCCTTATAAAATGCATTGAGATAGATTCTCAACGCCTAATTAGCTAAAAATGAGAAAAAAAAAAAAAAAATGTCATGGAATGTAAAAAAGAGAGAGAGGTAGGCTAAAAGAGAGAAGTTGGCTAATCAGTACATAAAAAAACCTTTTGAATACCAAAGTTAAATGGCCCTTATATCAATGGAGATGCGGGGTTTTATTTGCCTTCTATTAGTAAAACTAAAACAAAATGTAGATGCGGGGTTTTATTTGCCTTCTATTAGTAAAACTAAAACAAAATGTAGATGCGGGGTTTTATTTGCCTTCTATTAGTAAAACTAAAACAAAATGTAGAT